GGCTTAGGGTTGAGGGATTAGGGTTTAGGGTTTAGGGATTAGGGTTTGGGGTTTAGGTCCGCTATACGTGTTTGGGAGTTTAGGGTTCGGGGTTTAAGGATGTAGGCAGTGTAGGCGGCTTATTTTGTTGGGAGGGGTCCCAGTTGCCTCAGGACTCTAGATTGCCCTGCACTTATTCCCGGTTATGTGAAAGGTTGAGGAGATGGGTCCTCTGGTAGGCCCCAGGCTTTAGCCCCAAATCCCTCGCCCTTGAACCCTTGCTGACGGGGCTTTATCTTGATTACTCAGAAACCCAAGTCATGAACAAGCTCAAGCTTAAACCTTTACCCTCCCTAACCCTCTTTCCTCCTTTCCTGTCCTGGGGCCGGCCCGGCTGCCGAGGCGGCATGCGCAAGCGTTTACAATTTCACCGCTGGATTCAAATCATTGCCCGCGGACTCGGGTTGTACCCTCCCTAAATCTTTAACCCCACTCAAGCAGAGCATGGTGCATTGCCTGGCCTGGCAGACAGAAAAGGGGAGGGGCGCGTGGTGTAGGGTCCTTAAATACTGTAGTCTTTGGTGAGCATTTCGAGGCTGTGTAAATAAATGAATATATATATATATGCGTAGCATATAGACATATATACATGTAGATATGTATGTTCGTTTGATGTATACTTTTTTTAGAACAAATTTTGGGGGGGGGGGGGATCCCACCCACCCCAACCTTAAACCCCCGTCCTACCCCAACTTTTAACCCCCCCCCAAAAAAAAATCCTAAACCCGTTCGGAGGAAGATCTTGTTGTGCGGCTAGGGTTTGGGTTGAGGGCCGCCAGGGCTGCAGACGCTTGAGTTTTACTACTAGGGGCTTTTCAAGGTTTAGGGCTTGAAGTGTCAAGTAAGGTCAAAGCTGCGATGCGTTATTGAACCTTCAACTCCCTAAATGCTAAACTAGGGGGCTTAGGGTGAGGCGCATCCCACAAGCCCCACGTTGGGAGCCTCTCAAGCGAAGTTGTGGAGCAGTATATGTACATAATATATACACATATGTATGTATGTATGTATGTATGTATGTATGTATGTATGTATGTATGTATGTATGTATACATACATATATGTATATCTTATGTATATATACACATAACAAAAGGAACCAACATATCAGAAATATTCATTATCTCCCCTAAGCGTGTGTTAAGCCACCAAACCATGCCTGAACAAGCAGGAGCTTTCAACAGATGCCCTGGACTTTCAAAGGCCGGCATTTTAGGGTTGGGGGAGGTTTCAAAGGGCTACGGCGCTTATAGGGTTTAAGTCTACGAAAACTCCCACAAACCAAAACAACCCTGCCTGAGCCATCTGCGAATGGGAGCCCCGTACCATCGCCTGCGTTTGGCGTTCATCAGGACCATTCTAGTGTTGCGAATTGATACGATAAAATTTAATTTTATCAAATAGGATGTAAAAGTACAGAACAGTTCGTGCATGCTGGAGACACACAAGCCAATAAAGTCAATCAGCGTGTATGAAGGAAAAACAAGACGCCATTTGAAAAGAAACAATTAAGCCGGCCACCTTACTAAAATCATTAATTTCCAAATCAATCTTCACGGTGAACCTCAATAATATTTTTGAACCTTTTTCAATACGCCGCTCTCTGAGTGGTGGGAGCTTGGTATAGTATATGGGGCAGACGACGTTTGGCAGTTGTTGCTCACGACCACCAAAGAGCTGCTGCATGTGAATTCCGCTGCCAAACGGGTGTTTAAGCTCAGACTGACGGGATGCTACAAAGTAATGCGAGAACGGGGCTCCGACAACCCGTGGCAATGTGTGGTTTATGAGGATTCGCTGTGTAAACAACTACCACGCATGTCGGGGCTTGTATACGGTTTAGGGTTTGGGTATGTCTACCTTCGATGTTCGACAAGAGCTGACCGGATGTTTGCGAGGCGGCAGTCGTATTCGAGCGTGGGTTCTCGCTGTAGCGCATCCCGTGAAGGGTTTAGGGTTTAGGGTTTAGGGCATGGCTGTGTGAGGCTTTCCACCGACGGCAGCGACGAAGCAGGCGCGCTTTTTTGGGGGGTCTTGGGCTTTTTGGGTTTGGGGTTTACGGCACCGGTTGGGCTACATAGGCGTGCGGGGCTGCCCATGACTTTTGCTACTGAACAAACCGGCGCTCACAGAGGAAAACCTTCACGCAAAAAGCTCGGCAACTTCTTGCAAGATAACTTGGTGTTTCTTAAAATAGGGGTATCCCCTACACAGTAGCATCGCATTCATAAGACCACCAACCAAAGCGCCCTAATGTTGTGGGAATCACACTTTGAGAGACTGAACCAGAAACCCTAAACCCGAAGCCCAAAACCCTAAAACCCTAAACCCTAAACCCTAAATACTGATCCCCTTCACCCAGAAGCACGAAGTTGATCCTGTGCGTTTGCACCGCTTTCTATGGGCAACGGCAGAGAAAAGTTGACGTATATTGGGCACTAGAGATGCTGAAGCCGACTGCATCTGGAGGGAAATCTGCTGAATTTCTTAGTTTCTGGCCTTCGCACTTGATTAGTTGCGTTAGACTCTGTTAGACGAGGCTCGTGCGCGCTTTTCCGACGCTGCTATCACAGAAATTCGTTTCCAGGTACATCGGTTTGCCAATCCCTCAAGTCAAAATCTGCCCCTAAACCCTAAACCCGAAACCCTAAATCGGACGGGCTTCCTGCACAGCACGCTTCAAGCATGCCAAATCGACAGCTTATGTCAGACTCGGATGACCAACTGCGAAAGCTACACTGACCCCAAGGCTCTAAGGCCTCTTGTTTTAGGGTGTTTGCGCCCCAAGGCCATCTTATGTATGGTTTTTGGGCTATGTTGAGCCTTAGGGTATAGAAGGTGCTCATTTTGCGGGACCTGTCAGGGGGAAGAGATCACACTACTGTCCTACATTAAACCCAAACACTAAACCCGAATACCCCAAACCCTAACCCCAATACCCTAACCCCTAACCCCTAACCCTAAACCCTAACCCCCTCATGGGGCTCTTGGGGCTTCACACTCAGCTCTCTTACGCTGCACAGGATCTGCCACTGACGACGGCTACGCGCAGCGCACGAGGCGCTGGGCGGTTTGGGGTTTAGGGTTTAGGGTTTCGGGTTTAGGGTTTAGGGTTTAGGGCTTCTATGGTTCAAGGCGCCGGAGGCGCTAGCCCAGAAGGCAACCTTGAACCTGTTGGGTTTAAATCATCTGCAGGTACTCGCAGAGTAGAACCTTTGGTTCCCAGTACTTGGAGGTTCATGCTACTGATTCACCAAGTAAAGCTGCACTTATATCCCACTTATCAGCCCCTTAAGCGCCCTAATATTGATATAGTTTGGGTTATAGGTGCAGTTAGAAGTGGTTAACAAGTACCATGAACCTCCAAGTACGCTCCTCCCTTTGAAAGGCAGCGGGGCGTCCAGCGGCTGAACTCGAGGCGTTTGGAAGGGCTGCCGGATTCCTCCTACTTGGGTTTAGGGATGGTTTTCTGGGTCCCCGGGTTTAGGGATGTGTAGGGTTCAGGGTTTAGGGATTTTTTCGGGTGCAGTGTTAAGGGATGTTCAGGGTTGAGGCTTTATTCGGGATGTTTAGGTTGGGGGTTCAGGTTTTAGGGATGTTTAGGGTTCAGGGCTTAGGGATGTTGAGCGTTCAGGGATATTTCGGGATTAGGGCTAGGGATGTTTTGGGTTCAGGGTTTAAAGGGTTTCGGGTTCAGGGTTTAAGTGGGCTCAGGGTTCAAGGTATAGGGTTTAAGTGGGCTTAGGGCCTATATGGGCTTCGGGTTTAGGATTCGCCTGGGTTGCAGGTTTTGCCTGCGAGGCACGGTCGGGTGGCCAGAGAGGCATCATGAGTGCTGAACAGGAGTTCTTAATCCTTTTTTCCTGCGAGTGGCGTGTTTTTGGGGTCGGAATCATTACCAATGGTATTCCCTTATGGTCCCTTTGTAAACACACAATACTCACCCCCCAAAACCCTATTCTAATTTTAAGGCCCCTATATTGCCCTGACACCCCACTTCTACGCCCCAAACAACCCAAACAACCCAAACAACCCAAACAACCCAAACAACCCAAACAACCCAAACAACCCAAACAACCCAAACAACCCAAACAACCCAAAGCCAAAACTCTGCACCCCAAACGCCCCCAAACTCCCTCAACCCTAAAGCCCAAAACGCCTAAAGCCCAAAATGCCCTGAAAACCGAGCCCCCGGAGCGAAGTCTTTAGCCACAAGAGCCCAAACCCCAGAACTCCGAAGTCCCCCCAAACGCTGAAGAAGTCGAAGCCATAATGATAGCCAACGGTTTAGGGTTTAGGGTTTAGGGTTTAGGGTTTAGGGTTTGGGGTTTGGGGTTTAGGGTTTAGGGTGCAGGGTTTGGGGGCACGCCGGCTGTGGGTTCCGGTTGAGGGTGTCAGACTCCAAGGCTTGAGGCTTGCTACCTGCGGAAGACGGGGATCTTCATAAGGGTCTACGTAGGTATCCTAACCCTAAACCCTAAACCCTAAACCCTAAACCCTAAACCCTCAACCTCCAGACCCTCACGCCCCCAAAGCCCTGCAACCCTAAGGCACAGACCCCTAGACCCCAAACCCCTCAAACCCTAAACTGGAAGCCCAAATCCCTGGCAAAAAACTAAACGCCCCGAAACCCTAAACCCCAAACTTCAAGCCCCTAACCTCGAAACCCTGAACCCTGAACCCTAAACCCGAAACCCGAAACCCTAAACCCTAAACCCTAGACGACCCTCGACCGTAGCAAGCCGGAAGGAGTGACATGGTCCAGCGCCTCCTCAGTGCAGGGCAGAGTGAGAGCTCTTGGGCTGCCAAAGGTTTAGGGTTGAGGGTTGAGGGTTGACGGTTGACGGTTGAGGGTTCAGGGTTCAGGGTTCAGGTTGGGTTGGTTCCGAATTCCGGGATGCGGGGGGGGTGGGGGGGGAGGGGGGGAGTTCCGAAATTCGGGGAACCAGGTACCTTACTGGGGT